TAACACATAGTAGGTGTTTAATACATTTGTCGAATCAAAGAATGAATTTCACAAGTGTGTTTTCAGTTGTTCCTGCAGATGGACATCACACCAAGTATTTGTGTCTGCTCCCTAATACGTTAAATATACCTATAGTAGAAAATGATGGTATTTCACTTTTTTAAATAGTTACGTGTGGGTCATTTGTACTGCTACCTAACCTAAACATTATAAGCTGCAAGCCCATTTGCGTCGGGTGGAAACCATTGCATGTCTTTCTGTGTATGTGTTATGTAATAACTTACGTCATTAAAGCCACTGCATGGCTCAGGTCCTGGGTTGTCAGTGTGTATAGGGCAGAGCCCCTGTCCTTTTCATCTTTTTCCTCCCTCAGCACGGAGTAGGAGCCTAGGAAATGTCTGGTTCCTAAATAAAGGCTTACAAAGTAGATCATTTATAGATTCCCAGAAACTTCAGATTCCTATATACCATAGATAACTCGTTATTTTTATTGTTCTCAATACTCAGATTTTGAAATGCAATAAAATATTTATACAGCCAAAATCCAGGCACAGAGGAACTCTGAGAGATTAATTCTGGAGTCTGACTCTCCAGATACTACCTTCTTTAAATATCAAAGCCTGTTCTAGCTGGTTCTAATATGAAAGAGGCAAGGCTCCAGAGCCTTACATTGGCAATTGCCCCCTACCCATCCTCCAACGGTGATTTTTATGGCCTTGTTTAGAGATTATGGGAAATATCAGTATGGGCTCTTCAACTATAACAGGGAAAGAATCATGACCCTCTCTTCTCAAAATTATCAATCATGAACTCCTAGCTTAATTAGAAGGAGAATTTTTCAAATAAACTCAGTTTTTTGACAGTAAACATATGGGGGAGTATGTAAATTAATTATTGGAATATTATGCACATAAAGGGGTTTTGCTAAAGATTTTAGATCTTTTGGATGTGTTGATTTAAAGATTCTAGAAAGTTATAAATATACTCATGTTAAAACATATGCTTTCAGGAAGTAAACTCTCCTTAATGGGCACTTGCAACTCTGAATTTTTTTTTCTTTTATCTTAGCATAAATAAATCAGACTGAAAAGCATCCTCAAACCAAAAAGGAGCTACTTAAAAAAAATTATATAACTTTAACTTCAGGAACATCTTTGGCGTTCCAAGCTGGATCATTTTAATTCCACTGATCTTCACATTTAAAGGTTTCAATCTCTTGAAATTAATGTGACAGAGAAAATTTTAAATACTGAGCTCAGCCTTGTGTTTTCAGCTATTTTACCCTCAGTCAGATTGACATATCTGGTTTGTAGAAGTGTTCAAAATCAATCCATTTCTGACAATAGTAAAAAGTTGATATTCATTGCTTTCAATGTTTAAATATTCTAAACAGAAGAAGCTTTCCACTGTGGGAGCAGAAAGGGGCAAAAAAAGCCCCTGATGTAATGTCAGATGGTATCTTTTCTTCACTTTTTATGGACCAGAGACTGACCAGCAGCAAGGCAAGAAATATTAATGGTGAAATATATATATATATATATATATATATATATATATATATATATATATATATATATATTAATATAACAGCGAATGCCCAAATGTTATGGGTAAACTTGCACTGAAATAATACGATGATGGCAGTAATTATTTTAATGAGAATTTCCCTAGTGAGAATAACAAACGGAGATACCGCCTAATGTTACCCTGAAAGGTACTCTCTCAGTACCCATACTATTGCAGTGACTAATGTGCGATCTGAGAATCCCTCTGCTTTGCAGTTTGGGCATTTATGTCACCACATAGTATTGACATAGCACATATTATTTTTACTACATGGCGTCTTTAATGTGTAAAAACTGCATGAAAAAATTATTTTCATCCCCTTGATTTTGATCGGCATTTCCACAGAAAGGATGGGAGACAGAGAAGGCTGTGCACTGTGGAATTCCACCATCAGTAAGGATGTTTGCTGATGGCTGCTGATAACAGTTCTATGAACACTGGCCTTTTAAAGAAGGAAGGAAATTACGCACAGCAAACTCGTGATAAAATAAGGACCAGGTTCTGATGAAGATACACGGAAAATGAAAGACTCCGGATTAGAGCTTGTCTCCACATCCCTGTGTTCCAGTATTGCCAGCGGAAGGGTCTAGAAAATCTCTCACTGGACCGAAACCCTGATAAAGCGTCACATTAACTGCACCTTAGTCCTGAGGTGGAGATAAGATTAGATTTTCCTGGGTGTAATTTCAATTATGATGCTTACTTTGGTGGGATGCTTTTCCAGAGAGCAAGCAGAGGAGCAGAATCCTGGCATCCAGAACGAAGCAAGCTGGAGTGCCTGGCCCAGGTTGTTTCCACAAAGAAGGTCAAAAAGGGCTGAAAGAAAAGGTGTATCAAGGCATCCTTGGAACTCGGAGCCAATAAAAATGAAACTATTCTCTTCTGAGACCTAATTAACTTTTATATCCAAAGCTACACTGCACATTTGTTCATTGCTTATGACTAGGGCTAAAAAAATATATGTGCCATGGAACCAGGCTTTTAAATGATCTATTGGATGGCTTTTCTGTCTCTGTAAGGAATTTTCTGTTCTTTAGAGGCATTCATGCAATGAATAAGGAAGCCTATGCTAATTTTTTCCCCTCAAAATGTTAAGTATTTCCCTGCATCTATTTTCAAGGAATCAGAGACGTGGACCCTGAAACTTCCAAAAATATTCCCTTCAAATCCAAAAACAAAAACAAAGCAAAAATGTTCCAGAAACACATTTCATGCCAGAGGCTTTGCAAGGATTAGTCTCCTATTAGAGTCGCTGTTCCTCGATGATCCTTTTTCATGTTTTAAAGGAAATATATATTTTTCTGTTACCTTTCCCGACTGTAAAGCAATCACAGGAACCTGCAGGAGGCACCATAAATATGCAAATTTCTGAGAGATAACTGTTTTCAGTGGTTATGCCTCCAAGTAGTCCGGGAAACGGGAGAGCCAGAGCTGCCTCCTTCCGAGTAATTCGTATGTTGGTAGTGCCCCCTGCTGCAATCACAGGTTGTCCAAGAAAAGGAGAATAAAATTTGGAAGCATTTAGATCTGGTTAATATGGGAAATAAATGCCCACTACCCCTGCTATAGGGAACAGCCATTCGTGGGTTCAGGGTTCCTCCTGCCATTTACAGATTCATTGTAAATACTCTCCTCAGCCTAATATGCGGAAGATTTGCTTTTATCTCTAAACCTTTAAATATGCAGTTTACATAGATATGGATTTTATTCTAAAAAAAAAACAAAAAACAAAAATAAATAAATAAATAAATAAAACACTATATCACACCAAGATGCAAAACAGCATTTTTAAAGAATGAAAAAATTTAAGAATTTTCTAGGGTTATCTAAGGATAATAAATTCTGAATTAGAGGAATAGCATGCTCTACGAGTGCATTAAGACTGGAGGGGGAAAGTTAAAGTGTTAACTGCGTGGAGAGCTATTACTCAAGTTCAAATGGCCTTATTTATTAAAGGAAAATTTTGTGGGCCATTAGCCATCGTGTGGACTGGACAGTTTGATATTCAAAAATAAAATGAAATAAAATAAATAAATGAAACAACCACGTTAGGAACATTGGGAAACTGATTGCCGTAGCTCTATCGTCACTCAATTACAGATTTTCATATTAAGACCTGGGGAAAAGGGGTGGTGAAGGGGAATAACACACAATACAATTCAGACCTGTGCCGGTCTATTGGATACATCATATGCATTTTTAAATTGGCTGAATATATATTCACATGACAGAATCTAATGGGTTTAGAAGGAGCCCTTGCTCTTGATCAAATCATAAAAACTGTTATAAACTTGTCCATCACATCAGATCACATACACTTCTATTAAGATTGTGTTTTGTCTTGTTTAAATACTAGAGTTGAAACAGATAAAGGGAATTATACCATAAAACACACACACACACACACACAACTCAGGTATTAGAAACTCTAGCTAGAGCCATCGAGGTAAGCAAGCCTTCATGACACAGGTACTCAACTGTTTCTGTTCAACCCACCTCAGTCTTCCAATGCCCAAGCCCCCAGGGTTGCAATTTTCTAACATGTTTCAGACATGTTAAGCTCTCTCCTCGTGTAAACCCCTCACAGTGGCTATGTAGTGGAGCTTGAATTTCAACTTAGCTCTGTACCTCATTTCCATATTCAGATCTTCCCAGCTAGAGCAAAGTGGAGGACTGAGGAAATTACCTCTATCATTTCAGCAGTGAGCCTGCCTTTCTCGGCATCATCCGGGAATCTTGTACCCTGTCTTTAAGAGCCCTGACCTGGGCGTCTGTGAGGAGAGGGAGAGGGAGAGGAATGGGTGGATGTTAGCTACCAGGCAGAACTAAGTAGACATAGATCTTGATATGAAAGATATCCATCTTTTCCTTACTCAAAACTTACGCAAGCCCCCATTACTCTGTGAGATGAGGAGGAGCGTTGTGAAGCCCTTGCTCTGAGTTTTATTGCCACAGAAGGTGAGCTGTTGGGGAAAGAAAACCAGTGCACAAAGCAGCAGTAGGGAATCTTGGCTCCTCTCTGCCAGAGCCCCTGCCATATATGTCCTGTCACTCACCTACTAGACACTCGGTGCAACCATTCCATCTATTGAATCGAGAGACTGTTTGATCTTATCTGCATCTGTGAGCTGACTGTCAACCTGCTTAGGCTGCATATTAAATCATCTATAGTAGCTGTATCAAGCTGGGATGATCTGTTAATTCTAAATTTATTAACCCTTGGAGTGCAGTCATCATGTTTAATCTAGTGTGGCCCGCATTTATTTTACAAGACTAAATCCTTCTCGAAGATATGGCTGTGCTGTAGGTGAAAAACAGCTAATGTGGGTGGGTTTCATTCTGATAACTAGGGGTTGGGGAGGGGGGTTGTCTGGAAAATACTAGTGTGGCTACCCCAACAGGCTATGTCTGTCCTGTCCCAGGCACTCTCCTAGGCTGGGATCTGCCTGGGAGACCTTTTCTCCAGAAATACTTCTGTCTCCAAGAAGAAAGTAAATGGGAAAAAAGAGGAGGGTGAAGAAGAGGGAGAGGAGGAAGACCTCTGACAGATGGTTCAAAGCCAGAAACATGGATTTCCACAGCAGTCACCCTCGAAAGGAATGCCTGAGGAGTAAATTTCCCCAGGCACACACCGGTGAAAGGTGCTAACAAAATTCCTTCAGTAGTGAGTCAAACTTCTTGATCAATAAGGGTCACCTTATGTCTAGATTGAATGATTTCTTTCACATACATTTCCCCATTCCCACCAAAGCAGAATTCCAAGGTTGTCCTGCTTAAAACAAAACAAAACAAACAAACAAACAAACACGTGGGGATGATGTTCATTTAATATGTTAATCTGGTCTTGAGACAAATAAAATAAAATAAAATAAAATAAAATAAAATAAAATAAAATAAAATATACCCATCTCTGCTACTTGCCTATTACTATGTTATCAACATATTCATCGCTTTTTCTTTCAGACACAAACTGCTAGGCATGCTCCCTTTTTGGGCAACCTCGTGCCTGATATCTCTCTAATGTAGCCTAATAACAATTTTAGCATTCAGATGAAGCGATTTCATTCTGTGACTGCCTTTTCTATTAGATTTGATTTTGAGAAGCCCCAGTGGGTGCCTTCGAGGCAGAGATCTATCTGTGAGGCTGCTACCGACTCAATAGCAGCCTGGGCTAACCTTGACCTTTCCCGGGACCCCGCTCCATCTGGTGCCAGCCTGCTCTCCACCCCACCCCCCTCCTCTCTTGCTTCATAGTCAACATTGATCAAGGCAGAACGGAGCGCCTCCTCTCCTGGAAGGGCTGGGCAGGCTCAGAAGGACAGCACATTTCAGGATATGGAAATGATCAAGCTTCTTATGCAATCATAAATCTACATAGGAGGCTTGTGATTTGATATTTCATTCACCTCCAAAGATCCCCCCCCCCCCCCCCAACAGGGATTTATAAGCTCTGTAAGAACTCCCGGACAACGGCTTTCCCCAACACCTGGAAATTATCAAGCTTGCTGCTTGCTGAATGATGCTAACAGCTCTAATGCTGCAAATTCATTTTCTAACAACTCACTGACTTTTATCTCGGATTTGTGCGTGAGTGTGTGTGTGTGCACACACACATCTTCCTTTAAGAAAAATCTACCAAAGCAAAGGGGTAGTATCAAACACACCAAAATCAAATCTGACTTAAATATCCCACATCTCCACGCCCATCCCCATTATGTATTTGTAGGTAGATTTCTCTATTTCTGTATAGTCTGTCCCCTTTCTGAATGGTTTAAAAGGGGAGAAATAAAGAAGAAAAGAAGAGTGGGATGGGGGGGGGGGGAAGAGAGGGAGAGAGAAAGAAGAGAGAGAAAATGGGAAAGATTCCAGAGGGAGGTAACACTTTCATGGACCATGAACCCTACCTCTGCCCTGCCCAGGCCACATTCCTCCTTCCCTCAAAGACACCCCCCCCCCCCCACGACTCCTTCCCACGTCACCCACTACAGGACACAGATGCCTGCTCTGCCCCGCTCTCTCTCTCTCCGCCCCTCCTGCCTGCTCCAGGGGCGGGATGGTGAAGAGGCTGGCGGAAGGGGAGTCACGTGGGCAGCCCGTGGGCAGCGGCTCCAAAGAAATTGACTGACTGGCCGCTTGGGCGCATTTCAATATATGGAAATGACCAGGGGCTTCTGCCATAAATCAGCACTCAACACTTTGTCATTTTCTGCAGTTTCTGCCTCATTTTCCTGTTTTCCTCTCCTCCCCGCGGGAGCCTCGTTCCTCGCATTTCACTCTGCCGCGCCTCCCTTCCCACCTCCAGCGCCCAGCCTCTCCAAATTTTGCCCCAAACGCCTCTCTTTCTGGTCTCCGACCTCCCCTCCCCCACCCCAAACCAAACCCCCCCCCCCCCGTAATTGGAGACATCCGGTGGATGGTTCTTTTCTTTTCCCTTGAACATTTCTTTTTTCTCTCTAACAAAATCGCGCAATGTTTTGCGGTCTTGCCTGGGATTTCCTTCGACCAGGGGCGCCCGGGATGCGCTCCCTGAGTCCGCGGGCGGGTGCCTCCGGCCCCTGGTGGAGAAGAGAAGAGAGAAAGACCACGGTCCTGGGCGTGCCTTTCCCCATCCCAGCTCCCGTCCAGCCACCACCACTACCCCTCTCCCCCACCCCAACCCCACCCCCGGAGTTCCCTTAGCAAACTTAAAAGAATTATCAGAAGCAACTTGTGCCCTGCGATGCCGGGGAGAAGAAGAAAGGGGGGGAGGCGGTGGGCATCTCAGTGGGCTGGCAGGTCCCTGCGTGTCTCTGGCAGACCCTCCCGTGCCCTCCACCTAACCCTGCCCCCGGGGCCTCGGGCCCCTTTGGAGCCAGAGCTGCGCGGCCCCGCGATCTGCAATTACTCCGGAGCTCAGCGCTCAGCGCTGCCTGGATGTCGTGGCGCGTGCAAAAGCAAAATTAACAAAACCCCATCACCGCGCTGTTGGTTTGGTTTGGTTTTGCTTTCCTTTTTTTTTTTTTTTTTTTTAGTTCCCTGCAGAAGCAAACATTACCTAGCTTTCTCCACCCCCCCCCACCCCCCCCCCTCTTCCAGCTCCTGTTTGAGATTCCTAATCTTTCAACTTGGGTCTCTCTCTCTCTCTCTCTCTCTCTCTCTCTCTCTCTCTCTCTCTCTCTCTCTCTCTCTCTCTCTCTCTCTCTCTCTCTCTTCGACTGGGCAGCCTCTCCTTTTTCTTTTTCCCTGGGATCCGGGAACAATAGGCATGTAAAGGGTCAGTGGGCATCACCCTATACAGCTCAGAACCTAATTAATTTTATTAAAGGAGGATCTGTTTATGCAATATGACAGCCTGGGGGGATTAACCATTTGAGGAACGCAGACTCTTGTTCACAGACACCCGAGACTCCCCTCCTCACATCCTAAGCTTTGCATTTCCTGCCCCATTTGATCCTGGCCGGCACCCGTGATCCGGGTCTGGTTTTTTGTTTGACCTTGGGAGAAGAATGTCTAATTCCCTGAGTCCTACAAAATTCGAGGGGCACCCAGAAACATCCATCTATTTCCATTGCCAGATGACAGTTTGTTGCAGTGACAGCTCAAAATGTCTCCCTATTGGGGTGGGGGGGGGCACCCTAAGGTGTCCTATAGTCTGGACATTTGTTGCTTGGTAATATTCTACTTGGAATCACCTCGTGTGAAATCCTATGTGCTTTCTCAAGAGCAAAGGAAAATGTAACCGTTTTTAAGTTATTATATATATTTTTATTTTTTTCCTGCCACTTTGATCATTTGAAATACATTTTTAATAACCTCCTGGAAAAGAATTTAATAGTTCAGACATATTGTTCTTTGACTTAATATCTCTGTGTATTCCTTAATTGCCAAAACAAAGTTTATTACACTTACAAAGGCTAACTTTATATCTCCTAGGAATTCTAATGTTATCGGTTTGGGGGTGTGTGTGTGTGTGTGTGTGTGTGTGTGTGTGTGTTGTGTGTTTTTTTTTAATCATCACCTTGGATTTTGTTCAACAGGAATCTAGAAATGTATAGCATATGTATAGAAATAGATATGATAAAATATTCAAGAGCTTTCTGAAGGAAAATGTGCTTGAAAATAACCCCCTCTTTTATGGAATTTGTTTTGATTTAGATCTATAGATAGGAGAAAGAATGAAAGAAACTGTGAATTACACTGAATATAAGATGTTTATCACTTTAATATTGCACTTCCGAGCATCCATGTTACAGGGCTTTGGAATACTCTCTACCAACTTTCAGATTGAAGCTCTGCCTTGCACCGTCTGAGGTCTGTCTGGAAAGACCTGCCAGCACATGCCAGCTAAAAATGAGTGTCAATTAATAATAATAAAAAAGCTCCCTCATCCCTACACTCATGCAATTTAACAGGTTTGCAGAAGAACATAGGACGACAACAGTTGCAAGAACATTCCAATATATGCAGTCCTAACAGCTTTCATTTGAGACGCCAAACCTTCCTAAAATAGAACGGCTTAACATTTCTTTTTTATATTAAAAGTCCAATCTACACTTCACATAAAATGTTTTTTTTATCACAAAAATATTTGTCTCTAACAAAATGCACTTTTTGTTCTACCAAAAAAAAAAAAAAAAAGCAAACATCTTGAAACAGATTCCCCAGCTTTTTACAGCTCCCCATTGCAATTTTCTGTACTATGTCAACTCCTCCCTCACCGCCACAAGATACTCTGAACACAGGGGTAAAAATAATTACAATTTAAATACTGAACCAGAATGCCCTGTTTCCCGTTTATTGTTAACAAAATCTCTAATTCTGAAACTGCTCTCTGAGGGAACCAGGCAAGTTGGGGGACTTGCACTGATATTTCTAAGTGCAGTTTGTTGTTTGAAAAACATATTGTACTGATTAATAAAAATGTGAAATAATTTGAGTTACAAATTTTGAACTACAAATCGCCATCTGCTCAAATGGGGGAAAATAAAAAATTGCCGAATATATTTTCTCACCTCTTTTTTTTTCATGATAACATAAACAACATTCCTGAATAATTAAAAAAAGAAACTAACTACACTTAATGCATTTTTATAGTTCAGCAACTGCTTGGTGAGCCCACCTTCTCAAAAACGTGCAATTATTTTTTTTTCTTAATTACTTGCATATGTTCTATCAAAAAAGTCGCATCCTACTGCTTTTCCTGTGTTATTGGGCAAATCTGCTTAGCTCTGTGCACTGCACCGTCTGCCCCCTGGATTGCTGGGATAACACAGACTGTAGTGTGCAGTAACCCCAATTATGTCAGAGACCTATGAGAACATTCAGAGTATCCTCTGGGGTGGGAAAATATTTTTTTCCTAAATTCCAGGAACCCATAGTTGGAGGAATAAGCACCACCCATCCAATAGATGCATGGACACAAAGAAGCATTATAATCAGCACAGCTTATTGTTTGTGGGAAAGAGAGTTCCATGGCTAGACCTGCCGTCGGTGGCTATGGAGAGCAGTTGTTGATGGCCTGGCAAACAGGATCCTGTGGAATTTACTATTCCACCAGCAGAAACCATGAACAGTCATCGAGGACAGGGGTCGGCAAACTCATTCGTCAACAGAGCCAACTATCCACCGTACAACGATTGAAATTTCTTTTGAGGGCCAAATTTTTTAAACTTAAACTTCTTCTAATGCCACTTCTTCAAAATAGGCTCGCCCAGGCCGTAGTGTTTTGTGGAAGAGCCACACTCAAGGGGCCAAAGAGCCACATGTGGCTT